TCGGCCATGTTGGCCGCTTGTAAGGCGAACGCCCTACCCGCTGTGCTATCGCTCCAAAAATTATAATAAATAAAACTTAATAAACCCTTTGTAATATGTATAGAGGACAGTTTTTGTTTCAGGGACACATCTAGCTATTCTCAGGGCTTATTCCTGACTCTATATTCAGGCATCATTTCTGAAAGAGCTTGGAGGACCATATGCAAGGTGCTGGGGATCAAACCCAGGTTGGCCTCATGCACATCCACTTATCAGTGTAAATAAGAGACCAGTCAAGATGAACTTGCTCTGGAGACCCGCTTTACAACACTGTGCCTGCAAAGTGCAGTCCTGTATCTTACTCTTAACACATCACTGTGACTGCTCGTACCACAGATAAAAACCCCTGCCTGCTCTATTGTTACACAGTGATGTGGAACTTTGTCTTATTATCCATGAGTCTTCACTCCTTTCCTCTGTGATCACAAGCCTGTGCTCCCCATGAGGCTGACAGTGTGCACTGCAGTTGGGTATGCTCTCCCTCCACCCCCTGCATATCCACAGGTCACTGTCACTGTCACTGTCCTCCTGTTGTTCATCGATTTGCTCGAGCAAGCCCAGTAACGTCTCTATTGTGACAATTGTTACTGTGTTTGGCATATCAGATATGTCACGGTTAGCTTTCCAGGCTTTGCCGTGCAGGCGAGATACTCTCGGTAGCTCTCCGAAAGAGGCAGAGGAATTGAACTCGGGTTTGCCATGTTGGCCGCCTGCAAGGCAAACGCCCTTACCTGCTGTGCTATGGCTCCAGCCCATATCCACAGGTAGCTGGGCTAATGGAAAGAGGACTTGCCTTCTTCCAAGGGGAGGACTCTTGATGGAGGGTTGGACTGAGCACTGGATTCCCCCACCCAGCCATCTAGTCACCTCTACATCAGGAGCCTTCCTTCTCCTCTATTCAGCACGTGTACCAGTGAGCAAGTGGAAGCCGCAGAGTGGGACCGCACCCGCCTGCCTTGTTTTTTGCTTTAAATCACTGACTTGGAGGTGGAGATGGGGGTGCTGCAAAGCAGCGAAGCTCATGAATGGCCATGGTGTATGGTGACTTCATCAGTAGAATTTGTTCTAATGGAAGGATTATTCCATGTGTCTCACTGGGTTGGTGCAGCTAGGCTGGGAGCCGCACACAGAATGTGTCTGTGTTCATGCCTGTGCCTTCAGACCTCCGCGTTCAAGGTAAGGGAGGAAGAGGAAGGAATGGAGTGTCAGAGCCCAGGGTTAGAGGCAAATGGGACACACTGGGAGCCCAGAGGTGTGACTGACGGCATCACAGCATAGCACGGTTACAGGAGGATTTTTATTTTTTAAAAAAAATTGCATCTGAAAAGTGCCCCTATTTTTTTTTTAATTTTATTGAATTGCCGTGAGATACTTACAATCTTTCATGTTTGGGTTACAATCACACAATAATCAAACACCCATCCCTCCACCAGTGCACATTCCCCACCACCATCTCCCCAGTATACCACCCCTTCCCCAACCTCCCCCTGCCTCCATGGCAGACAATATTTCCCATACTCTCTCTCTACTTCGAGGCATCATGGTTTGCAATACAGACACTGAGAAGTCATCATGTTTGGTCCATTATCTACTTTCAGCACAACTCTCCCATCCCAACCTGTTCCTCAAGCCATCATTTTCTTAGTGATCCCTTCTCTATTCCGCTGCCTTCTCCCCTTTGCTCATGAGGCAGCCTTCCAGCTATGAAGCAATCTTCCTGTTCCATATATCTACTATTCTTAGGTGTCAGCCTCATGTTACGTTGTTTTATACTCCACAATGAGTGCAGTCCTTCTATGTCTGTCCCTCTCTTTCTGACTCATTTCACTTAGCATGATACTCTCCATGTCTATCCATTTATAAGCAAATTTCATGACTTCATCTCTCCTAACAGCTGCATAGTATTCCATTGTGTAGATGTACCAAAGTTTCTTTAACCATTCATGTTTTAGGAGGTGCCTCTATTTCTAAAAGTGAAAACATCTAACCTCCAATACTTGCTGGAGCACACCTGCATGGGCTGTTTGAGCTGATATCAGGAAGGGGGCATCTCTGAAGACCTTTCGTGTGATTGGGGTCTGCACATAGACTCTCCTCCCCACTCCTGAATTAACAATGCTCAAAGCTGGGCACATTTTAGGGAATTTGGGGGGACTTTTTATCTAGTTAGGGTAAGTTTTTCTAGTTGAGGGTTATTTTTTCTTTTTTTCAAATGTAGGAGTACTGCTATTTATTCAGCCACTGGTTAGCTGATTGAATTGTGCATGAACTCCCCCTTAATTTTTTTTTCATTTTTTATAATTTTATTTATTGAATCACCGTGAGAGCAGTTACAAAGCTTTCGGGTCTAAGTCTAGATCATACAATGAAACACCCATACCTTCACCAGTGACCATTCTCCACCCCCAAAAACCCCAGTATATCCCCATCCCACACCCTCTCCCTACCTGTGGGGCAGATGATTTCCAGATTACTCTCTCTCTACTTTGATCACATTCAATATTTTGACACCAGACCCACCATTATTATTTGAGATTTTACCCCAACACTCAGATCTGCTGAAAAGGCAACAGCAGACAATTTGTTTTCTATTGCTGATAATGAATAACATATGATGTCACGTGGCTGCAGTAGTGGCCGCGCTATTTTGAAATTCCGAAATTTTAACATTTAAATCTCGAGGGATTTCTGCCAAAACCTGCTGGGTTCTGAGATTTACTCCTGAGTCTCAGGGATCATGGCCGTTAAGCAGCTTGATCAGGAGCCAGAAAGGCCATTCGTGGGCGAAATCTTGGGGTCTTGTTGGGGGGGGGGAGGACAGAAGAGGCTCCACCCCCATCCTATGAGGCCCAAAATGTCTCATCACTGCAGGCCCAAACCTGACTGTCCAATGGCCTCTGGAGGATGACGGCCACTGAGTCGCCACGGGGAAACAGGTGGAGGGACAGCACCCTTTCTCCCCTGGGGTGGCCCAGCAACAGTAACCTACTGCGGGGTCCGGACACATTACTGCCCAAAGCCACTGGGTTCCGAGATTTGTTTCTAAGTCTCTGGGATCATGGTCATTAAGCAACTTGATCAGGAGCCAGAGAGGCCATTCGTGGGCGATGACTTGGGGTCTCGTTGGGGTGGGGAGGACAGGACTGGCTCCACCCCTAGTTGAGGGTTATTTTTCCTTTTTTTTTCTTTCTGCTCTTCCTCTTCATTTTTAGTTTAGGGTGTTGCTTTATTTTGTTTTGAGGTTTGATGGGGTTTGGTTGTTTTCATTTTTGTTGTGTTTTTGAGCCTCCTACAGCTTTCTGGGAGTTAAGCTGGCAAGATCCCATCTTTTCTGCTTTGCCTTTGCTCATTATTAAAATTTCCCTATCAAACTGAAGAGACCCTGTAGAAATGATCTCACAGGAAGACCACTGGAAGCCAGCAAAAAGAAGCCTTGCTGTATGAGCAGAGGCATCTGGACTGGGAGCTCAGCCCTGTGAGGCAGCCCAAAACCCAGGGGAGGAACTGGCTCGGAATTTCTTGTGTGCTTTGTTTGTGGGCCACACCTGGAAGTGCTCAGGGCTTACTTCTGGCTCTGTGCTCAAGGATCTCTCCTGGTGGGCTTCCAGGACCATATGGGCTGCCAGGGATCAAACTCTGGTCAGCTGCTTGCAAGGCAAGTGCCCTGTCTGCTGTACTATCTTGGGTCCTTCTCAGGCATTTCTTTAGAACATCAGTTGTCATTCAGCACTATGAATGCTATCTTAGGGGGTAGGGGTGGGGAGAGAGAGATAGAGAGACAAAGAGAGAGACAGAGACAAAGAATAATTAATCAAAGGTGTGTGGCCTGGGCAGGCCCCTTCTGGGTGCAGTAATGTGGATCCTGTGACACTCCACAGCTCTGCCCACTCAGCTGTCCAGATAGCCTGAGGGCTCTCAGTTAGCCTATCTGTGCAGCTGAGTGGGCTCTGCTTTGGGGTCACTCTGTCCTTTGGAAACATCCTCCAATAATAGTCTAGAGTGTGGCAATCACTGACTCAAAGGGGCCTTCGACTTAACTGGATTTTGGAAAGTTCTACCTGCAGGAGGTTGTGCTCTGTTCTCCATGACCCACTCAGCCTGACCTCCAGGGCCCTTGAGCAATGAAAGGTGGGACGAACTCAGGGGACTTCTGTGCCTCCTCCTCTCTGGCATGGGTGGTGTTGAGGAAGGGAAGGCTTAAGAAAACCAGCAGGAGCCTTTTACTCAACTCCCCCGTCTCTGTCCTCTGTCCACTCTGGTGGGACGGTGGACACACTTAGACATACCACATCTGGCAGCATCATCTGAGGGCCCTGGGGTGACAGGTGCCCCAGTGTCTCTGCCAAAACCTTCGGGGTCTCTCACAAGTCACACCTCTTGCCGCCTGCATTCTCAGGGGCTGGGGTCACAATTCCTATGGGAGGGAGGAAGGGACTGAGGGGACTGAGGTCTCCAGGGGTCTGGAGACCAGCCTACCTGTGTCACCATGGCCCCTGCCTGTGTCCCCGCACCATGTCCCCATGTCCACCCTCCTCTCTCCTGTCTCACCACAATTTGCTCCCTCAGAAGTGCTGACTTTGCTGTGAGACCCTGTCCCCCAGGACTGTCTCAGAGTTCCTTCCATTGACTTTGACAGGACTAGGTATTCCCCATGTTCCTCTTCCTATCAATCCCACCCTCTTGTACAAACCTTTCCTGATTATATTTTTGGGGTGAAAAACCCTTTGGGGGGCCTAGAGAGGTGCTTTGGTAAACCCTCAAGGAGGCAACAGTGCCTTTATTTTAGGGGGTACTTAGCGTACAACCTTTGACCAAAAGCTGCCTTTGCAGGCACTAGGAAAAGCCTCACTAAGTATCCTGTTATGGTCGGAGTCACAGGTGCAGTTAGTGATCAACAATCATAGAGGGCCTGTCGTATATGGTGACCTAAGGTGGCACAAGCCCCAGATTGGGACATTGGTTGGAACAAAGTGCCTCAGATGCATCAAGCTGACTTCCCATCTGAGTGAGGGCCCCTCATCTCTCACTGAGGTGGATGCTGACACGTGTGTGCCATCTAAGCAGGGAAGTATAGGGAATTCAATAGAAAGAATTTACAAGATGAACTTCTGTTCTATTTTGTTTGGGGGCCACACCCAACAGATCTCAAGGCTTACTCATGGCTCTAAGATCAGGGATCACTCCTGGAGGTTTTAGAGGACCCTATGGGGTGCAGGGAACCCAACTCAGGCCAGTCTTGGGTGAGGCAAACACCCTGCTCCCTGTAGTATCACTTTAGTTCAAAATGAACATTTTTTTTTTAATTTTAGAGTAGGGAGCATAAAGACCACTTTGATTGTTGAAGTCAGTCCAGTGTTCACTGGTAACATGCCAAGATGAACTCTCAGATGCTGCAAGACAAGTATCACATTTCTACATATGATCATCCACCACGTGGGGCAGGGTCCTGGGTGTCCCTTAGAGGAAACAGCTCGATTGCTGACAGCCTCTAGAGGGTAGTGTGGAACCATGGGGCCAGACCTGCCCGCTCAAAGCTTCCACTTCCTCCTCTGTCAAGGGAGATGCCAGCCCTGCAGATCCCAGGGCCAGTTCCCACCTTCAAGACTAAATGGACTCCAGGGTCAGGCCTGGGAAGTCCACATGGACTAGGTGAAGCCTGGAAACGGGGCTCAACAGGGTGTCTGTCTGCAGGAGTCCATCCCAAGGAAGCAGGAGGAAGTGAGGGCCCAGGGCACTTCTTCAGCACTGAATAAATGTAACCACAATATGAAGACTTGCTGATGTGGTTTCACAGTTCTTGTGTTTCTTCTTCCTCCTATCTCCCTACCAGTTGGCTCAGCCTTGTCTCCCTTTGTATGATTGACCAACTCACCAGGAGAAATGATCTTTTGATGGCTTTAACAATCTAGACTCCAGGACCATCCTGGAGGAGGTCTCATGCCACAACTCTCTTAGGAGATGTGTTAGCTTTTAACCAGTTCCTTTCTACCGGAGTCATTTCACACCCAAGTTCAAGGTTGTTTCATTCCTCTTACAATTACCCCCACCCTCCCAATCCCGCACCTCCAGATCCTATAATAAGAGCATCAGCAGCAGGTCAGAAGAAAACCATGGAAACTCCTTCAAAGTGACACAGATGTGAGTGCCAGTAGCTAGAGGCCTGCCGCCCAGTGGCTCAGAGGAAACACATGTGACACTAGTGGACTAGTGACCCTAGTGAAATAGTGACCCTAGTGACATACAACCCTAATGTCCTGACTCAAACACTGGAAGCATGGAACAAAACTTTTCATTTTCGAATCAAGTGTCTTTTTCAGAAAACCAAGCATAAGTGTGTAGAATTAGGAAAAAGAAGAAAGTCAGTGAGTGTGTGGGGGTTGGGGGGTGAGGGTGGGGCAGGGGAGAGTGAGTGAGGGAAGGGAAAGGGTATTTCATAATCTCAAGAAGGCCCTCTGCAACACAGCATGGGCTTCAACCCAGACCTTTTCCCAACATATTTATTTTTGTTGGTTGCTTAATAAAGAGGCTATGCCAGTAGTGCACCAAGGCTGGGAAGTCACTCCCAGTGAATGAAGATCTGGTGGTACCAGCCTGATGGTAGGGGTATTTGGGCCTAGTGATATTAGGGAGCCAATAGGGTCATGATTGGTAGTATTTGGGGTACCATGGGGTGCCAAGAATCAAACTCAGGGCCTTTCCCACTCTTCCAGTGGGGCCATATCCCAGCCCTCCTAGCATACTATAGTGAATTGTTTTTATACACACACCAACCCTTTCCCCATTCCTCTGCCCCAGCCAAAAATTATATTAAAGATATTTCAGCTTTTAACTGTCATTCTTACTGAGGTATGACAGGATTCTTGGTGGTGTTTACACACACACACAACACAACACACACCGAGCATGTCACTACTATCCTTTCCTTTGTTTTCCTGTCTCCTACTGCAGGACATGTATTGGAAAAGGCTCTTCCTGTCTCCTGCTTCAGAACAGGTATTGGAAAAGGCTCCACACAGTTCTATCAATTGGTCTTCACTATAGATGTGTCAAGTAGATTGGTGTTATAGGGAGCAGGGACACTTCTCTTTCACAGGTACAAAATTAAGTTCTGAGCATACCAGTCGTTCTCTCAAACTCAAGTTACATGATGAAGCTGGCCAGCATGAGTACCAGGACGGCAGAGTCAGGGCCTCCTGAATTGTGTGTACAAGATGGATGTTTCCCTCATAGTTCTCTGCTCTTACAATCACAAGTTACCCAGCTCTGTTGTAACACAATGCATTACCCTATAGGGGTAGTTCATGACTGCTGAGCTATTTCTGTATTTTCTGGCTTTCCCCAGACCAGCTGTCATTTCCTCCCAATTGTTAAGCACCAGGTTTTCCCTTCACTATTTCATCCTCTCTCATTAGCTGGTACCAGTCAACTCTAGGCAAGGACCCCTGAAACCGATGATTCCCATAGAATTTTTTAGAATTTCATGAAATAAATTCTGTCCTCCCATTGTTCATCAATTTGTTCAAGTTGGCACCAGTAATGTCTCCATTGTGAGACTTGTTGTTACTGTTTTTGTCATATTGAATATGCCATGGGGAGTTTGCCAGGCTCTGTCATGTGGGCAGGATACTCTCGGTAGCTTGCCGGACTCTCCAAGAGGGACAGAGGAATTGAACCCGAGTTGGCCACATGCAAGACAAATACCCTACCCTCTGTGCTATTGCTCCAGCCCAAAATAAACTCTAAGTATGAATAATTAAGAGTTTGATGTTTCTGGGTTGCATGTTATATGCTCAATTCTGACTCATGCAATTCTCCCAACAAACCCAGAAGAGGCTACTGCTATTCAGCCCATTCCATTAATCAGAAAGCCAGCTCAGACAGTTGCCTTCACATTTTAGGGGTCTCCCTTATCTATCTGTAGATCACTAGTCACCCTTCCTAGTCAAGACTAGAGGAAACAGCAACCCCTACATGCACTCTCGTGACTGTTCACTGGGTCTCTGTTGTTAACCATTGAGGTTTTTAAATAAGTAACAAAGCACCCAGAAAACTCAGGCAGACCTTCTATAGAACATCATCACATAATCCTACCCTCAACCATATCCTCTTGTCACTTGTTGCTTATTTCATATTGAAAATATCTCCGTGTCCCACTCAGACTGTACCCTAGCAATAAACAGTCTGCTAGTACAGAAAAACGGAGTAACTAGGTGACCCTTTATTATAAGGTGCACCCACATGATGCCTGATCCAGAGGAAGATGGGGAAAATGTTGGGCACACAGCTGAGCAGAGATCTAAAACCTTTCAACCAGCAGTTGTAGTGGCAGAGAATTGTACAGGACTGCTGGGAGTGGGCAAGAGGAATAGAAGGAGAGGAGGAAAGGAGAGCAGAGGGTCAATCTAATGTCCCTCTCCCAATTAAAAGTGGGTTTAAGGTCACTTCCACTGGGGACAAATGGAAAATCAGAACCTGACACCCTGTTAGCCTCATCATTGAGAAACTCTGTGGTCGCAGTGTCTGTTGGTAGAACATTTTACTAGAGAGATAGCATTTAACTAAAGTTCTATCAAGGTTTTTTGAACTCCACTACATTTCAATTACTTCTGATTTCTCAGAGATTCAGGAAGGTTGGATGAGCAGAAAAACCAAAGAAAATCACGTTATTGGAAAAGCCCATAGATCTATCCTTTCAGACCAGAGATTTATTTTCACCTTCTGTTCAGCCCAATTTGGAAAAAAGAAGAAGCAGTATTCTATTCTCCAAGACCTTAGCCCTGTAGTGCTGCTTCATCAAACTCCGCCTCCCCTTGCAGATGAAGCTGCATTTCCTCCTCACTCTGTGTGGATTTGCACAGCCCAGCTGATCAGAGGTGCTGAGATATCTGTTCACCCAAGAAGAAAGTCTCTGGGTAAGTCACCCCTCAGCCTCTTGGCTAGTATTTTGTCAAGCCCTGGTGAAGGACTCTCCAGGAAACCATAGAAGGTATCTGGCAAGCATCAGCGGCTCATTGAACTATTTTGCATTATCTCTAAGAAAAGGAAAGGGTTGGGATTTAGAAAGAGTTTCAGACTATGATAACATCTAAGATGGGAAACAGGATTGTGAGTGAAAGATTGAAAGGGTGTAACATTGTTTTTCAAAATACTTTTAGAGAAATGATTCTTGGTTAAAATATTGGCAGAAAATGATCTTCTGGCAGATATACAGTATCTCCCACCTGGCCCAGCAGGATATCCTCTGAAGAAATACAGGACCAGAGTTTTGTCTAAGCCTGCGTCTACTGTTTGTTTGCTTGTCTGGGGAAGCCTGAAAAGTCTTCAAGTTACAATCAGTTTTCAAATATCAAAGCTTCTCTTTAATATCGGTTTGTTCCTCAGCACAACTGATAAGTTATTGAGAGGGGGGCTTAAAATTTAAAGGCAAAGTTTTCTGGTTGCATCTATCAACTGCCTAATCTGCACTACAGGGGGCAAGAGACTCAGGAATGATTCTTTAGAGAAGATTCTCAATGCAGCAGTGGAACTGAAATAGAGCGGCGGTCCATGGGGCAAGGCACTGAGCCAGCTCCTATGAGGTGTTTTCCACTTGGCCATGTCTGCTGACAGGATGGAACTTCTCCATCATGGCAATTCAGAAACTGCTAACAAACTGCAGAGAAAAATGCAAGGTTAGCAGCAAGAATTTACAATTGTCTGCTGGTTCTTAAGACCTTCTTGGAGGACTTGAGTATCAGTCCATTTCATTCTGTCTACACCAAGGCTAACGTTAAGGTGATTTTAAATCCTCCTGCCAAGGGATAAGAGGTGGTGGCCTGTGGATAAGGGTGTGTGTGGGCTGCTTTCACTCAAAATCAATTGCTTTCTAGCTGTGTGACTTTGGATAAGTTGCCCAAACTTTCTATGGGGTCCTTCTCTGAAGGATGGGGGCAATCCCCTGCCCTGCCTCACTTGGTCACCTTGAGGGTTGGTGGAATGAGTGGAAAGATGTGTAGAACCAATGTTCTTGGGAGCTGTGCAGGGTAACTGGCCTACTATGAGGATAACCTTCCAGGGAATGCCCACGGTGGCAAAGGGTAGGGGGCGGTCAGAGAGGGCCTGTCTCCATTTCTTGACATTTCTATCAAGATTTCATTCAATGTCACATGGCTAAGGAACCACAGATTTTTATTTGGAGATGAGGATTTTGTGAATTTCCCCAACAGCACAAATTTCACCCTCTAGTAGAAATCAGCAGCAACCCTCAACCTCCACTATAAAAGTTCATCATTTGGCCAAATATAAAAAAGGAGTTCTGAGTTCAAAACAGAAATTTATTTATCAATTTTTGGAACCTATTAATGTTCAAGCTAGTTTGCGTTCCTCATAGAGCCTTACAAGAACTTTTTAAAAGTTCATTTCTCCTTGGTTCCTAGATTGGGCAAGATGGATTATCTAACATCTCCTAACTATGACTATTATGGGATGTCACCGCCTTGTGAAAAAATTGATGTGAAGCAAATCGCAGCCAGACTCCTGCCTCCCCTCTACTCATTGGTGTTCATCTTCGGTTTCCTGGGCAACCTGCTGGTCATCCTCACCCTGATCAACTGCAAGAAGCTGAAGAGCATGAGCGACATCTACCTGTTTAACCTGGCCATCTCCGACCTGCTCTTCCTCCTCACCCTTCCCTTCTGGGCGCACTATGCAGCAGACGAGTGGGTCTTAGGAGATGCCATGTGTAAACTCTTCACGGGGATGTATCACATTGGCTATTTTGGGGGTATCTTCTTCATCATCCTCCTGACCATCGACAGGTACCTGGCCATCGTCCATGCCGTGTTTGCTTTAAAAGCCAGGACGGTCACCTTCGGGGTGGTGACAAGTGTGGTCACCTGGGTGGTGTCGGTGCTTGCTTCACTCCCGGGAATCATCTTTACCAAATCTCAAAAGGAGGGATCCCATTACTCCTGCAGCCCTCACTTCCCAATCACTCAATTTCATTTCTGGAAGAGTTTCCAAGCACTAAAGATGTTTATCTTGGGTCTGGTGCTGCCGTTACTGGTGATGACCATCTGCTACTCGGGAATCCTCAAAACCCTGCTTCGGTGTCGGAGCGAGAAGAAGAGGCACAAGGCCGTGAGGCTCATCTTTGCGATCATGATCATGTACTTCCTTTTCTGGGCCCCCTACAACATCGTCCTACTTCTGAGTGCCTACCAGGAATTCTTTGGTTTGAATAACTGCCAGAGCTCCAATCGGCTGGACCAGGCCATGCAGGTGACAGAGACCCTGGGGATGACACATTGCTGCATCAACCCCATCATCTATGCCTTCGTTGGAGAGAAGTTCAGAAGTTACCTCTCAGGGTTCTTCCAGAAACACATTGCCAGACGCTTCTGCCAACATTATTCTATCTTCAATCGAGAGGCCTCAGAGCGAGTAAGCTCAGTTTATACCCGGTCCACAGGGGACCAGGACCTCTCTGTGGGCTTGTGACATGGGCCTGGCTCTGAGACATAGCCTGAGGGTGGGAGCCAGTCTTTGAAAAGAAAGTTTCTCTCATAGATGATTGAAAATTCATTCATTTTTTTGGTTTCTGCTTATATTCATCAATTCTAGAAAACCAAATCAACACTTGTTGGTGAAACAACAACCTTCTCATCTCCCTCCTCCACAGCATTTTATTGGTCAGTTTTCCCTTCAAGCAAAACTGTATTATTTTTTTAAAAAAATACACAGGAGTTAGAACAATAATACAGGAGTTAAGGCATTTGCCTTGCTTGCATTCACCTCGGTTCAATCCCCAGCACTGCACATAATTCCCTGAGCACTACCAGGAGTGAATTCTGAACACAGAGCCAGGAGTAAGCCCTGTGCACAGCTCAGTGTGGTTCAAACACCACTCTGATGAAAAGGAATCGGCACAGAGTGGCTAATTCTTGAGTTTGATTAGCCGAATGGAACTATCTAAATTAGTGAAGAAATCTTGTTGTTTGGTTTATTACCTGTAAAAGCAGCATCTAGGGGAGATGCATGTTTGAAACAGGACCATATCCATGGGCAGCAGAGAAAGCACAGACTTCATATGGGGGAGGTCTTCAGTCCAACTCCTGGATCACATTGTTTCAGGAACATTCCCAGTTGTCCCTGGGGGCCCCTGAACAGCACACAGCTGGGGCCAAGCAGCTAACTGTCAGGCCCACATGGCCAAGAGTGGCTCCAGCACTCACCTACCTCCAGATTCACTAAGTGTGGTCCCTGTAATAAAACTAAAAAAAAAAAAAAACCAAAAACAGGTCCTTGACTTGCACTTGGGGAGTAAAAACAACCATGTGGTTAAAGAGGGACATCTCCATCCAAGGTACTATCCAGGGAAGAGTTCCAGGGAGGTCCTGGTCAGGTAACCATAGCCTAATAAAAGCTGGCAAAGTGTCCTCATGAGGAGTGATTGGGGCAGGGCATCTGCCAAGGGAGAGACAGCATCTGGCTTCAGACCTTCATGGCAGAGTTTGGCTGTGGGAAGGCATGTCGCTGATGGGGAGACCCTCTGGGGAGGAAGGGCAGGCTGGATCATGAAGAACCTAGACAGTGTTGCTCCTCAGAGTCAGCAAACTCCTGGTTGGAGTCATAGCTGACTCATGTTACAGCCAGAGGATTATTTGTAAAGGTGAGCCACAAACAGCCCACAAGTCAGGGATGGGAGGTGGGGACGATAGGATGGGGGTTGGGAGGGTTTTCACCCCATTTAGTTGGGAGTCAGCAGCACTGAAGAAGGATGGGATTTGGAAATGAGAAGCAGGAAGGAGCCAGGGATTACAGGGCTCTGAGTCCCCTGTCAGGAGGTGTCCTACAGAGATGTCAAGTTCAGAAGGAAAAGGTTTAGGTCAAACCCAGGAGGACCATGACATGGGGTGGTAATATGGCTCAGCCATAGATGGTTTGTCTTGCCTGTGAACCTGCATGCATCGTAAGGTCTTGCCTTGTCCTGGGTTCTATCCCCCATATCACCAAAAATAACAAAAGCAGTAGTGAAGGAAGGGCTTAGTTTAGGGAGTGTGGATGCAATCCCAGAGCAGTCAAACTGAGGAATTTCTCCCTCAGACCTTGCCTGCACTCCTAGCCAGCCATCCTTCCCATCTCAGCCTGAATAAGGAGGTTTTCCAGTCTAGAAAACTCTAGACTTACGCATTCATGAGCTTGAACACTTTTGAGTCAGCGATGAGGAGGAGGTTGAGGTGATTACATATAGTTAAAGAAAACCCAGGGCTTTACAAGTATTCCCCACAGAGGGGGAAACCCAAATGGACCTGTTTCTGTTTGCCCAGGTACACCCCTGTTCTAATCATTTGCCAATTGACCAACAATAGACAAAGGGGGAGGAGAGACACACTCATTTGCAAACAGACTGCCTGGAACGTGATCAACCACAAAAAGTACAATCTAGCAGCGTAGGGGGTGAGGTTTGAGTGGGTGCTTTAGCTCCTCCTTACAAATGACTTTCCCAACAAATGGAACCCAACACTATGTGATTCATTCATCACATGGAGTGACTTAGAGTGTTGGTGCATGTGTGAAATTATTTTTTATTCGTCTGTACATGTTTTCAATTGTGGGGCAGCAAACACCCGTCAAGATGAGGCTGTAAACACAAAGGTGTGAGAATCACATGTGATTAAGATGGCAGATAAGAGCAAGTGCTATATTTTTCAAACCTAAGGCTTATTACCTCTTATGGGAAATGAGTCTTTCCTTTGCTTTCAAGATTGTTACACATAAGCAGCAGGTGACACTGACCCCTGGGTTAATTCAAAGACATTCTGATAATTATGTATGCATCAATTTGTGTGTATACATGTGTGTGCATATTATATATGTATATATCATATATATAATATGATCTATACACATTTCTCATGGATATATATATCCATGAGAACGTATATAGTTATACATTTATAAACATATACATGTGTATGTATGTGTGCATATTGTACATGTATGTATAAATATATATACACACAATTCTCATGGATGTAAAAAAGTTGCAAATTGCCTGTAAGAAAAATTTTCCCATAATAAAAGCCAATCTCTGAAGTAACTGTGTGTTTGTAGTCTCAGTTAAGTGTGCTTTTAGAGGATAGCACAAAATTTAGAGGAGCATTTTGTAAGTAACTATTGGGGACATTTTTATATATACACACTCCAAACTTCTCTCCAGCCCCTAGCCCAGGGATCCAACTAGTCTAGGGTCGCATTGCCAGAAGAAAACTAATTAAAGAGCTAGCTTCAGGGGAAGTGTCCAAGCAATGGATTCTGAAAACTCATTTCAAATTTCATTTGCTCAAGCAAAGGAACTGATCTTTAAAAAGTATGGAGAAGGGGGGAAGGGGGAGGGGGCGTGAAGAGGAATGGTAAAGAAAATTAATCTGTAAAGGGAAAAGAGAGAGAATGTGCGAATGTGCTGCCTGGTCTTCTAGGAGGTTGGTGACTAAAAGTTTTTTTTCTTTCATTTAAAACCCCCCTCCCAAATGCAGCTGCAATCGCAGGGGTACTGTCACAGAGGAAGTGAAGGGAGGGAGCAGGGGCACACACACACACACAGATATTTATATATATAGATATAGATATATATAGATATCTATATATATATATATAGATATATATGCTGCACTGTAGCAGTGTCCTTCTGTTGTTCATTGATTTACTCAAGTGGGCCCAGTAACATCTCCATTGCGAGACTTGTCGTTACTGTGTTTGGCATATCGAATACATCACAGGTAGCTTGCCAGGCTTTGCCACGCGGGTGAGATTCTCTTGGTAATTTGCCGGGCTCTCCGAGAGGGGCAGAGGAATCGAACCTGGCTTGCCTGGGGCTGGCTACGCACAAGGCAAACACTCTACCACTGTGCTATCGCTCCTATATTGCCCCCAATATGCCATTGGGCTATGCTAGCATGCGACAGGGATGAATGGAGACATTACTGGCTCGAGCAAATGGATGAACAACGGGACCACAAGTGAGGTGATATATATATATATATATATATATATATATATACACATATATAAAATCTGTGTGCATGCAAGAGGTGACTTGATTGGTCTCTTTTTCTGGACTAATTGTTCTTTATCTAGGTAATCTGTCGGGTGTTTTGAATGACCAATCAGGTTGGTTTCTACATCCTGGTTAATATAACCAATCAGACAACAAAGAGGGAATTCATAAAGTACATAAGTACAGGTGATGCATTGCTGGTGACTCAGCCTTGGAAGAGAAAGACACTGGTCAGAGAAGGTGCTGCTGGAAGCAGGGGGCAGCTGGAGAGAAGCTGCTGCCCATCAGGGAGCTTCTGGGGACACTGGCCAAAACAGAAGTCACCATTGTTCTCTTATGAGCTGGGACACTAAATAAAGATAACCATAAAGGGAAATCGTTCGTTACATTGGCAGTTTCTTCTGGGAGAATTAAATTGATTTTTTTCCTTTGTTTTATCTCTCTCCTTCTCTTCCCTTTGCTGTGGTTTCTGCAGTGTCTGGGATTCCCCACATTCATGGCCAAGATGCTCACTGGAAGTAGGATACCTTGTGTTGATGCCTGCGCACACTTGGCTGTGGTATAGGAATTGAGACAGCAGAGCCACTTAAATGGCTCTGGGGCATATGGGGTTGCCCTGGCAACAGCAGCCACATCCCCTCAGCCTCAGGTTTGCCCAACAGGTACCTCTGAGTCAATGAACCCAATAAGTGAGCCCTTCCTGTGGAGAAGACAGACTCCAAAGCTGAACATAAAAAACATAAAACTCTAATGCAAATCCCCTAAAAGAATGTGCAGAACCTAGCTAGAGGCAGACATGGGTGGAAGAACAGATAGAAACTTTCTGACTGATCCCTCTCAGCTCTTAGGATCACCACTTACTTCTAGTCAGTGTGAGAACAGCTGACTTACCTCAAGGCGAAAGGAGAAAGGAGAAGCAAAACCAGGAAGGCGTTTCCATAGCACATTGTTTTTGAAACCAGGGGCTGGAGGAGAGAGGAGTTAAGTGGAATTATTGTGTGTGTGTGTGTGTGTGTGTGTGTGTGTGTGCTTGTGCATGGTGCTAAGGTGGGCGGGTAGATAGGGAAGGGCCCCATGACAATGGAATTCCTAGGAAGTAATAAAAACCAACTTAGCCCTAAAAAAAAAAAAAAAAAATTCGAAAGAAGACCATGAATTAATCCCAACTCTATCCCCTTGGCAACCATCCTAGCAATATACTCTTACCTAGGTAGAAGCCCCATGTGGGGCAGTGTGGGAGAAACCCTATAACAGCCAACTTGAACAAAGGAAAAGCACACATATTCTATCCAAGCCCAAGTGTTGCTTGTGTCCATATGTAGTGGCCAAGAGCACTTGGTGCCCAAGTACATGAGTCGCCCACATCTCCCTTCTTGAGATGTGTCCTTTCACACTTTTTTATCTAATGCTGGGATGTGTGCAGGGGTCTCTTCTGCCTTTG